TAGTTGGTTTTAATTGAATGTGTTTGTTTTAGGAATGTTTGTCCAATTTTTGTTGCATTTTTCGTGCTCGTTCTGCTTTTCTTTATCTCCTGTTTTAGATCGTTTCCTTAGTTTTTTGTTTCGTGTTTTATTATGTGTTTTTCTTTATTTTGAGTGTTTAGGTATTTTTTCGTTTGTTTTCCCGGTTTTCTTCGTGTTTTGTCGTTTTTGGTGTGTAGGTTGGGAGCTTCGGGCGAATTTTATCTTCAGAAAAAGTTGGTTTCGAGAGCACAATTGGATAGATGGGTTCGTTAGCGACGCGTAGCAAAAAACGGAACTCAATTCCGAGTTCGGATGAGCCCAAATGAGCCCGAAACGTAAAATGGCGCAGTGCAGTCCAAAGTCGCGACTCGCGACTTTAACAGAGCCTCCGACCAGCTGCGCAACCCCACGACCCGTCAGACTCGCGACTCGCGAGTCAACTCGCGAGTTGCGACCTGTTCAACCCTGTTTTATTTTTCTCCGTTTTTACTCGTTTTAGCTCCGTTTTTCGAGCTCTATATAAAAAAAACGACCCCCAGACCTAAGGAACAACCCCTATTATCGTTACTTTCAATTTTTCTCTCCAAAAACTCAATATTGTTAGGATAAATTTCTCCGCTTTTCTTTTTTTTCTCTCATGCTTGGATTGTTGGACACAAAGATACTAGGATTGAAATCTTGCAACTCTTAATCCGATTATAAGTTTTTCAATTCTATTTTATTATTGTTGATTTGTTTTATGTTCTTAATTCCGGTTAACATGAAATTGAATCTAAGCATGAGGTAATCCATTCACCTAGGGTTAGGGATTTTGATTCTTGTTTTGAATTATGAGGAATGTGTTTTGTTTAATATATACTAGTTGTGTGAATTATATGGTTAGTTGATTGATCATCATTCTAACCTAGTTAATCAACGTTTAGAACCGAGAGGGGAGACGTCGGTCGATTTAGGCTCGTATAGAGTAGACATGTTCGTAAAAGTATTGTCTATGTGTTGCTTGTTTGAATGAGTTTATCGTTTATGTTTGTGCTCTTGTTACGAAGAGTTATTGAGCATAGCCCTCTAGACGTGTAGGCTTGTTTAATCTTGTAACCGAACAAATAAGCGATCAACATAGTTTAAGACTTGATGAGATTTCCCGACCCCTAGAACTTCTTCTTTTTCTCTAGAAATTTAATTGTTATTTGTTTAAATTGTTTTTCTAGTTCTAGCTTGTTTTAGTTGATTCCCCATATCAATCATGATTAGAGTGTTTAGAACTTATTTTCATTTCGTGTGTGATCAAGACCAATGCTAAATTCCGAACCGTCTTCCTCGAGAGATCGACCCGAGGAACGAATCCTTCGATTCGGTACTCGGTAAAAAAATAAAATAATTTGCTACAACAAGGAAAAACTCGGTATTGTGCTTTCTGCAGTTGCTTTCCTTGACTTGTTGTGTATATTCGCATGCGGATGTATTGAAACTTGTGAAACATATGTGAATGTTGGTAGTTATAACGAGCTAGACTTTAGAACTCGATGAATGATAAGTGGCCGGCTGTAATATTTGTCTAATTTTATCTTTTCTCGACTTGTTTCATTTCTATGCCAATTGTAACCACAGTAAAATTCTAACGTAACCACCGAAAAATGACAAGTACGGATTTTAATGTCCGTACATATATAGAGACACATCATCGTACAATACACGCAGGCATGCAAACGTGATTATTCCACTGAAAAAACATATCATCCCAAATCCATCTTAAAGAAAAACAAATACTCCCTCCAATTCATATTAATTGTCGTTTTGGCTTTTTTGCTCATTAACAAAATAACCTTACCCTCTCCAATACATATTAAATCCATCCTAGAGACACATCATTGTTCTGAATCTTTTTTTAATATTTTTCCAATCTTACCCCCTCCACCTGATACAACGTCTCTTCATATCCAACTTCATCTTTTCCCGTAATATCTTTATTCCCATGGCAGAAGTCGGTTGGCATATTGACAGCGTCTCAATATATTTTTCCAATCCACCTTCCACAATTTGTGTGTCTTTTTTAATCCAAATTTTTTCTAATCCTTTGATTCTGGTTCTATTGTTCTCCTTTAGTGATTCGACAAAGTCATCTAAGGTGTATGTTTTTTATTCGGATGTTGAAGATGATGTTCATCAATGTTCTCGCCTCAATCGCCTTGCAACTAGAAATAGTTTTTCAAAAGGTAAAAGTGCAACAATGGTTGAAGAGAAGCCTGTTGTTGGTAAAGCAATTTTGTGTCCCAATGATGAAGTTGTGAATGAGATGCTGAAGATTTTTGTGTCAAATCTATTTACCGAAAAGCTCTCGACCAACATGGCAGATTTGCTTTGAGCGAATCGTCTTGTTCGTCTATGTTTTTTTTTTTTGCCAGATTAATCTGTTGTTATTGTTGTTGTTATCATCTTGTTGTTTTTTGTCTAGGTACTTTGGCTTTTAACTGGCACTTGTGGTGTCACCTTTTTTTCTAAAAATTATGAGGGAGAGACTTTTTATCTCTCAATTTAAAAATTGTGTTGTTATGAGACTCCATATTGTATTAAAGTTCTTTTGCTCTGGAAGTTTGATGGTGTATTGCTATTGCAATTTGGATGATGATGTGTTATGGTAGTGTTTATGTTTGAGAAGTTTTAATGTTACAAATTGGTTATAGATCATAAGAAAAATTGTGAGCAAAGGTGAAAATTTTTAGGGAAAGTTTTTATTAACCTCCCAAAGTATGTCATTTTTTAGAGTTTGTAATACAAACATTTTTTTTTGACAATTTGCCTCCTAATGTAATCGAAACTGGCAATTTGTCTCCTCGATTGAAAACCCTAATATTGCACAAAAGAGTTTTTAACTCAATTAATGATTAATTTTAAATTAATCTTTAAAATTGATTTAGGGATTTTAAAACCCACTAGTGCGTGGCCCGTGCGATGCACGGGAAAATAATATTTTGATTGTATTATAAATTGAATAAATAAATAACATTAATTATGATTTATCCATTATTTTTAAATTAAACTGATTTGGACACAGTCTGACCGGATGGACCGAGAACCGGTTTATAATCAGTCTAGTACGCTTGAATAAAATATTTGCTATCGAATCTTTCAACATCAGTTTGTTGGACTGGTAGGATCAAAACGATTTTCTAAACAAATTTTATTACATTAAAAATAATTTTAAATAAAATTACATATTTAAATAAAATAGAGATTTATAAATTGTTTATCAATTAATTTAAACATTTGAATTTATAAGTTGTTTAGATATTTAAGTAACACTTTTTATTTAAATTAATTAAAAAAAGTACTATATATATATATATATATATATAAGTATTATGTATTAAAATTTGAACAACCACAAATGATTTAATAAAATAACTTGATCGTTTCGATGACGATCCGGTTCTGAAAACCTTATATTTACCGTACATTGATAAAAGAATATAATAAAATAATTATTTTGTTCACATAAATAATAATAAAATGATGTATAAATATTCATAAATCATTAATCATGTTGTCATAAAAGTATTGTTAATATGATTATTTAAAGATTGGACTACATGACATTCACGTAATAAAGTATTTTTAATATTAAAATTTATATTTAGGTTCAATAATCGATTTGGTCTTGTCAAACTGATACATAAATTATTTACCTAGGACCAACCAAGTTGTTTCAAAGTTTTTTGACTATTTTAAATATCACCTAAAAGTAATTCAATCAACGTGAGCAGTACCCTAATTCAATCACCCGATTGATCCAAAGTAATTTCTTTATTTTCTTTAAATATAATATTTAATTTTATGAAATAAAAAATTTTATGATTCATATGTCTAAACCAAATGATAGTATATTAAGACTGTAAATTATATATCTAAAGATGAATTATTTATTTTTATTTTATGCATATTAATAAAAAAAACATAGTAATTTAAAAAAAATTAGATTAATTGATTGGGTATGCAATTTAAAGAATATTTTTAGCGTTCAATATATATATATAAATATATATATATATATATATTTAAAATGATTTTATTATTAAAAGTCAAAAAGAAAAGATGCAATAAAGATTACAACTTAGAAAAGTTTGTAAACATTTATTTAGGAACCATTCCATTTTAAATAATTTTATAATTTTTGAAACATGATACGTGCATCTAAAACTCATAATTTAGGAACCATCCAATTTTTTGATAATGAATTAAAACTAAAATGTAAAATAAAGAAATTACTAAAAATAGTATATAATGAATGTGGTTTGACTTTTCTTACTACTATTTATGGTAAATGTTAATTCTTATTATATATATATAGATGACGAGACGAACAAAATGAGGTATGGTTTGTCGATTTCTGAAAATTGATACTTCTAAAATCGATCCACGAAGATAGCAGGAGCACATGTGTATAGAATAAATTTCAATTCAAGTTAAGTTTTTTGATAATCAAGATATTCGATTTTCGATTGGGATGTGTCATTTGAAAGTTTAGAGAACGAGTTTTCTATCAGAGTAAATCTTAAATTTCAATTCAAATTTCCTGATAATTAAGATATCCGTTTTTTGATTGGGAGGTGTCATTTGAAAGTTTGGAGGACGAGTTTTATATCAAAGTAAATTTTATGAAATTTTGGTTAGTAGCCTAAAAAAAGCTAACTATTTCGGTAGTTTTCTAAATACTGATCAAAATCCGAACAGTTTCGATTTTCATGAGAGTAAAATTATGTCCCTTTTCGCCGATTGCTTTCTGTTCTCATTTCTCAACCTAAACAACTGACATCAATCAAACTCCAGCAATTCTCAGCACCATCCACCCCAATTTCAATTCGTGCCCTAATTTATCATTGTTCAAAGTCTTTGGTTTTGTCCAAAATTCCCTGAAAATTGCTTGCAATCAGCATTGAAAAGCAGCTCTGCCAAGTTCAATCTTAGTTTTTGTCGATTGAATTATGGTGGATCGAGCGAAAGAATTGATTCTTCAGTTCGCGCCATTGCAGAGTTCAGTTGACGAGGGTTTTTGGCACAGGTTATCATCGTTGAAGCTCAACAAGCTGGGAATTGATGAATCTCCTATTCCTATCACGGGTATGAGTTCTCTCTTTCAGACCTAAGTTTACATCATCAATCTTGTATCTTAATTTTTTTTCCCAGTTTAGGTTATCCTTTTTTAGCATATTTCCAATGATTCCCAAGAGATTACTGCAATAGAACTATTTAATCAGATTACTAAGAATTCAGTGTTTACTTGGGATGCTATAGATGCAGAGTAATAATTTAAATAAGATAACTCTATTGATCTTGGGGGGAAAAGACAACAATGGCTGTTGGTGATTCTAACTATGTTTCCACATGGCAGGTTTTTACGCACCTTGCTCACATCATCAAATATCAAATCATTTGACCCTTCTTGCTGAATCATTACCTCTTGAATCTAGTGAACAATCATTTACACCGGAAATAACTCGTGGGAACAGGAATAGATGTCCTGTCCCGGGCATTCTTTACAATACAAACACATTGGAAGGATTCCAGGCTCTTGACAAGCAGAGTCTACTAAAGGAAGAAGCCAAAAAGGTATCTTATTGCTCCATTTTTGTATGTGGAATTGTTGTTTCCAGTGATTGCTAAAGAGATCTTTTATCTATGTTTTTTTCTGTATTTAAATGATTAATATGTTGCAAATGGTTATGTTTCCCTTGTTTGACATTATTATGAATTTCAGATTTGGGAGGATATTGTTTCAGGCGAAGTTGAGGATAACAGCAGTCTTCTTTTGAGATTCCTTGTTGTTTCATTTGCCGACTTGAAAAAGTGGAGCTTTCATTACTGGTTTGCTTTCCCAGCTTTGATTCTTGATCTTCCAGCCACTGTGATTGAGCTGAAGCCAGCCGCTCAGTGGTTTAGCACAGAAGAGGTGCTCCAACTATATATAGTTTAAACTGTCTTACTATAGCTCTTTGAGATAATATTGATTCAACCTTTATTTTGTTTTTGGAAAAAAATAGGCAAAGTCTGTGACAGCTGCCTGTAATGATTGGCGTAACTCGAGCTCAACAACAGGTAAAATATTTCCTCAATGTCTGTGGCTTATTTAATTTATTTATTTTTCTTTTGTTATTTTCACTTTCTAAAAATTCAAGTCTCCTACAGATGTTCCATTCTTCCTGTTGTCTATTTCGTCAAATTCAGCTGTGACTATTAAGCATCTGGGTGAGTTCGAAGCATGCCAAAGGGATGGTCATAAGGTTGGTCATATGCAAATTGAAAGGAAAATCACAATTTATAAGAGATACACACATGCACTCATAAACATTCCCATGTATTGGAAAAACCCAAGTTATTAATCTGTGAGTTGAAAAGTACACTAGTTCATCGACTAAGATCAACTGTTCTAAATAAATTCAACATTAAACAAAGTGGACCACATGTACCTTCAGGTCCTTTTTGGATTCTATGACCCCTGTCACCTTCCAAATAATCCCGGTTGGCCTCTACGAAACTTCTTGTGGTATATTTTCAAAAAATGGGGCTTTCAAAAGATTCCCTTTTTCTGCTACCGTGAAAACCGTGGTTTTGCCGATCTTGAGTTATCCTTGGTGGGCGTAGCTTCAATATCAATATCGCAAGGTATTTCTGCCATTACTCCTGAACAATATTTTTTCTGTTCTCTAATTTCTATTTTCTGCTATAGCAGTTTTGATGCATACTCAAATCTAACGTGATCATTTTTTTCAGAGTTAAGAAATAATCAGAGTATGCCAAATGCTGTTGGTTGGGAACTTAATAACAGAGGAAAAAAGGCCCCAAGGTGTATCAGCCTAGCCAAGACAATGGATCCCTCTAGGTATGTTGCATAATTATAATTTGACAAATTCGAGCCACATCATGGTATATTCTGATTGGTGCTTGTACTTCGTTTTTAACAGGTTAGCAATTGAGGCTGCAGATTTGAACTTAAAGCTAATGAGGTGGCGTCAACTGCCTTCATTAAATCTCAACATTCTATCATCCACAAGATGTCTTCTTTTGGGAGCTGGTACACTTGGATGCCAGGTCGCTCGAATGCTCATGGTAAATTATAATGATTGTGTGATTTCCATTAAATAATAATAATAAATAATTTTTGTATTATTATTATTATTATTATTATTATTATTATTATTATTATTATTTTATATTTTTTGTGTGCAGGCGTGGGGCGTTCGAAAGATTACACTTCTTGATAGTGGCAAAGTGTCCATGTCAAATCCATTGCGGCAGTCTCTATATACNTATTTTTTTGTCATGTTCCTTCTCAGGAAGCTGAATCTGTTGTAATGGCCATTCCAATGCCTGGGCACCCTGTGACAAGCCAAGAAGAGAAAAATGTGCTTGATGACTGCCGGCACTTGCATGATCTGATCGACTCTCATGATGCGATTTTTTTGTTGACCGACACACGGGAAAGCAGATGGCTTCCAACTCTATTATGTGCCAATTCCAATAAGGTTTGAACATTCCTTCCTTTTTTCCCCTTCACCAATAAACTTCACAATTAAACGCAAGTTAATGTTCAACTATTGATATTTTTTTTTTTTCAATATTATTGTAGATAACCATAACTGCTGCGCTAGGGTTTGATAGCTTTCTAGTTATGCGCCACGGAGCCGGTCCACTGAACTCTTGTCACGAAACGAAATCCAAAGGTTCAAATAATTTATCTGTTGAATTTGGGAATGTATCTCTCATGGACAACAGTTCAGGCCCGCGATTGGGTTGTTACTTTTGCAACGATGTTGTAGCTCCTGTTGATGTGAGTAGAATCTTTATAGCAACTAGTTTTCAACATTATTTGTGCAAAAAAATTCTTACAACTATAACCTTTTTTTTTCCTTTTTTTAAAAAAAAATATTCACAGTCAACTAGTAACCGTACATTAGACCAGCAGTGCACTGTAACACGTCCAGGGCTTGCTCCTATTGCATCATCACTTGCCGTTGAGCTTCTTGTAGGAATCCTGCACAATCCTTCCGGGTATGTACTTTTTCCTTAATTATTTTGTTAGAGCCTCTAAATTTCAATAATATTTGCTAAATTACTTTAGGCAAGAATACATTTTTAGTCCTGTTGGTTTAACGCCATAGCAATTTTAATCCCAACATTCCAACTTTTCGCCTTTTGGCCCGTGACTTAATATTTTGCTGAAGCACTGACATTGCAACATAATTTTAAATTACAGGACTGAAGTTGCTAACTAAAAATCCATCCCAAAGATATAAATTTGGGACTTTGTTGCAATTCAAGACTAAAATTGCAGCAAAATATTAAATCACAGGACTAAAAGGCAAAATGTTAGAATCTTGGGACTAAAATTGCTATAGCATTAAACCAGCATGACTAAAAATGCAATTTAGCCATTACTTACTGTATAATATATATTTACGCGACTTATGCAGGATAATGGCGAAAGCCGAATCTTCTAGCTCGAGTGATTTTAGCAATGACGAGCAACCTCTTGGTATTTTACCTCATCAAGTCCGGGGAGCTCTCTCTCAGTTTTCTCAGATGACACTCGTGGGCCATGCCTCGACGAGCTGCACTGCCTGTAGCTCAACTGTGAGATGCTTTGACCCTTAAACGATGAAATTTTATTGCTCAACTTTTTTATTTAGAATTATCTTCTTGGGTTATTCATTTTTATTTTCTCAGGTGGTCACGGAATATCGAAGGAAGGGACTCGATTTCGTACTTGAAGCCATTAACCATCCGACTTACCTTGAAGATCTAACCGGGCTAACTGATCTGATGGAATCTGCAGGCTCGTTTGACCTGGACTGGGATGATGATGAGGCGGATGAGTGTGTCGAAATTTGACATACAATTTCTGGTTTTGATATACCTCGTTGGTTTGATAGTTTTTTTCTGTGACTTTGTACATAAGCCAGGGAAAATTAATGCTAACTCAGATATTCTTTTCTTGACATTCTTACTGAATTGTTTCTATGTTTATTTATGAAGTTTTTTCTGGGGTTCATTGTAATTATGAAAAGGCTCAAACTATTTTTTTCCAAATTATCCTACGTCCTTCTGGGATTAATATGAAATATGAATATATTTTGGGCGTAGTTACGAAACAAGTTAACTAATGTTTGAAGTATAATGAATCAGAATATTCTTGTGGTATTTTAATTTTATATGTCTTTTTATAAACATTTCTTTTTCAGATGTCAAAGCACCAGTGGTCTAGTGGTAGAATAGTACCCTGCCACGGTACAGACCCGGGTTCGATTCCCGGCTGGTGCAACTGTTTTGGTGTTTCATTTCTGCATCACCCTTTTGTGACGCCATCCGGTTTTTGATCCATTTTTTGGCCTTCACCACTATTAGATAATCCACGTTTTGAATTCGAGTTGATAATAATAAATTTTCCAATAAACAAAACCTTAAAATTTTCCAAGCACGAATTTTCGTTTCCTTATCAGAAGACGAAGAGAGTTGAGAAGGATTGGGGAAGACTACAAAATTATTCTTTTAAATTTTAACTCATCAAAATTCTTTTGTTGTTTGCAACTATTTTGTATATAAGAAATCTAAAAAAAAAATTATCATTTTAACTCGACCATTTTTTTTTAATTAAAATTTAACTCAATCTCACTATCATCAATATTATCAATATAATTAAATAATATCAATCAATCATTCAGACACACAACATCAACCTTAATTCATTATTCATCCACTCACATTAATTTGACTAACCATCAGTTCAAATCATTTCTCTCCTACTTTTACATCAAATCAATTTTAACTATTTTATTTTAAATATTATTTTAATATATTCACTAACAACTAACTATGCCATATTTTTCAAAATTAACTAAACCATACCAAACCAAAAATTTTATATCCAAACATGCTCTATTGCTAGCGGATATGCCTCTTTTTGTACAATGTATTGAGAAATTAGGCCTCTTTTGGTTGGAGAATGGCGGCCCGCATGTTTGGAAGTCTTTTTTGTTTTTTCTTTCAAATGATAAATACATATTAAAAAAACTGAGAGAGTACATCAAAAAGGTCAAATGATACTATTAAAGGCAGAACAAAATCTGGGTACAACCTCCCTTGGAATTACATAGACAATCAATGGAGTACAACTAGAGGCGTAGCAAAAAAGAGTTTCAACCGAGACTAAAAACATGCGACTGTTATTCGAATCGAGTTATCCGCTAACATAATTCGATTTACTTGTGAAAACTCGACTCGCTTGTATTTAAACGATCCAAACTCAAACATTTAATCGAGTTTGTCTATCAAACAAATCGAGACGAGAGTCTTCGCGGTCAACTCAGTTAGAATTTCGGGTATTGGTCTAGGTTTGCGGTTGACTAAATGAGTCGAATCAAGTTTATATGAATTGAACCCGAACTCACATTTTTGTTTGTTTATCAAAAAAATACAGCCCTCGATAATTTGAGGACATCTTTGAACACACGGAACACATCCCACGACCGATTTAAAGGCTCTCAGACGCCAAAAAACCCAATTGTAAATATAGTTCCGTAGGATTTTCTTCATTTTTGTTTTTTTCGTGTTTGGATTCTTGAAATATATCGTGTTGGGACTGAATTCTTGCAATTCTTCAATCGATTGTAACATTTTATTTCTTGATTATCATTGTTAATTGATATGTAGTTTTTTGCATTCGATTAAGTCGAATTTGAATCAAGACATGAGACAATTCATCCAGCTAGGCTAGGAGTTTCAATTCTCGTCTAGAAGTCGTGTTGAATGTGTGATTGTTCATCTTGTGCGAGTTGTGTGATTCTTAGAGTTAGTCGATTGACCATCTTCTAATCTAATTAAACAACTTCTAGTACTGAAAGGAGATGAGTTGTTTGACTTAGGCTCTCATATGGTAGACTTGTTCGTAATTGTATTGCCTACGTGTTATTTTCTTTGCCAATTCGTCATCTATGTTTGTTCTCTCGTTACAAAGAGTTATATATTGAGCATAAACCCTTAGACGTGTAGGTTTGTCGAATCACTTGACTGAACAAATAGACGTTCAACATAGATTTAGACTTGATAAGATTTTCTGATGCCCTACATCTTCTTTCCTTCATTTAATCATTATTTCTTTGCTTTTCTAGTTCTTAATAATAACATCATTCACTAAAATCTCAATTTTGATTTGAATGAGGACTTTCTTTTTTTTTTTTTTGATGTGTGATCAACACCGTCTCTAGATTCCGAACCCTATTTCCCGAGAGATCGATATGAGATCAGGATTTGTCTCGTACTCGATAAAAAAATAATTTGCTACACCTTTTATTTATATCAATTACTAATAATAAAATTTATACAATGTGATATTCTCATTATCTTACTTATAATTTTAATTATTGTACACATGTAACTTTATAAAATTTTATTTGTATATGTAATGTTGATATGATCGAGTACTGAGTTTTATAGATAGTGATGTGCAAGGTTCTTTACAAAATTAATTTTTTAGGAAAATTCGAAAGTTTTGTTACAAGATGGTTCCGTCAATGTTTTTTACTATTGGATACTATGGTAATAAATACTAATGGAATTATTCGCCAACGGAACTGTAGTTATTGTAAATTTTTGAACGAAAAATTTTACATTTTTTATTATGAGTCATCTTCCTCTTTGCATAAATGTTATTTTTAAATGTTACTCTTTCCATTGAATCTCAATCAATGAGATTTTAAAGAGAGGTTTGGTGGCACATGATGAAGAGAGAACAAAAATAAGGCCACGTACACGTGTGTCAATCGAAAAACTGGTTTCTATAAAATTGGTCAAGAATCGATCTCTCATCATTTCACCCGTGAAAAAAACTGATTAGAACCAAACATAATATTCTTTTAATTAATATATTATTAGTTAATATTTTATTATTTTTATATCACGTTAACTTTAATTAATATTTTTACCTAACATTCATGCACAATCTAAAATTTATCTAAATTTTTTTAAAAGACAACTTTTTCATCTCAATTTTTCTAACGAGGCAAATTTTGGAAATAAATCTTATAACCTATCGGCCAAGCTGTTTTCTAAATGTAAGAATAGTTTTTTGTTGTTATGTTTAAATATATTTTTAACATGAATAATAATAATAATACATATTTAAACATATTGCATATGTTTGGACCATTATATAATTGCATATTTTTACTTGTCTAAATTGTCTGATATTTTGTTACTAATTATAAAATTACTATATAATATCTTAAGATATTAATAAATTAAATATCAATTCAACCATTTTAACAAAAATCAGTAATTTGTAGCTTCACTGATTCAATGAACGAGAAAGCATTGGTTGCAATAGTTCTAGCACGTTGAATTATTTCAATAATTATAAGCCCCATTTTCTCAATTTCTTATTTAAAAAAAGTTCACAATGTAGAATAATCCCTGTCAATATTAGCTAGCTGTAGAGTGGAAAACCGGATCAGTATCTACCCACACATTGTGATAAATTAAATGAAATTTAATTTAGCACTATAAAAAACTTTAGTTCATTAATGGAAACCATACATTTCAAGATAACTTAAACTAATGTGAATCAGTCACGAAAAGTATCATGTCACAGGACGTTGGCAGGTGGCAGAATCAAATTGCTAATGCTGGAGATTAAATTACTGAAAAAAATTATTTAAATAGATTTTTTAACACATGGAAATTTAAATGCATTTTTTTTATTTTGATAATATATATGGTTAGCTCGAACGAACTCTGACTATTATAGTTCTATCAATTAGTAACCGAACCATATCTTCAATACTTTTGTTCACAAGTTATTGACCTCTCTTAATTTCATTTTTCATATTTTTTTTTCCTTTTTAAATTAAAAAAGCTAACATTCAACTAGTATTGCCACTAACTGCAAATCCAAATGATAGGTTCCCTCCGGTAAGCTTCATCCTTTAGCCTTAATTTGACTATCTCTATTGTATCGATGATTAGGTAATACTTCACCAACTGTAGTGCCAAAAAAACGCCATCCAAGTAAATGTGCTCTTAATTAGAAAACCAAAATGGGCACCATTGATATTTCACAAATTTATTCACCATAAAATATACCCCCCATAGGACTATAAATTGTTATAAATTAATCTCCTTCCTACATTTGTCCAAATCTTATAATGTTCTAAAAATCGGTAGGATATTTGTATAGGCGGCGCCTATATGTTAGACGGTACAAGTTCTTTTAAGTGTTCGAATTAGGACTGCAAATGAACTGAGCGGCTCGAGTGATGTAGGGAAGCGTACGAGTGGGAAGATAAACAAGATACTCTCTCGATAAAACTCACAATCAATTCATATTCTTATTCAATAATCATCCAAGAAAATAAACTAAATGGAGTACTTTATATAAGGCCCCTAATCTTAAACCTAACATGTCCAACAAGATAAGATCTCTTATAATAATATTTAATTCATAACTTATTCATAATAGTCTACACCATCGAGTCAAAGCTTGGCTCAAGCTCGACTTTGACCGAACTCGAGCCGAGCTCGAATATGTTATCGAGTCGATCTCGATCATAATTTTCGAGATATTACTGAAATGTAGCTTATATATAAATTTACAGTATTTTATATATGTACTTAATTAATGGTAATTTTATTTGAAATTTGAGTCAAACTCGAGCCGAGCTCAAGCAAGCTTTCGAGCATTTTGATATCAATCGATCTCGAATGATTGTCTTTTTTTCTCTAGTTGATCTCGACCGTCATAAATCGAGCTTGACGTGCTCAAGCAGGTAAAAAAAAGCAATTTTGCTCGATAAGGTCAAAGTTCAACCCGGCTCGCTTGTTTACAGCTTAGTTCGAACAACTGGGCATCGTCTAGACGGCTACACTACGTCTAGGCGATCCAAGCAGTTGTAAAGTTAAAAATGCCTAATAAGCTAACCGAACAACTAAGATAATAAAAGTAAATTTTGATTTTTTGCATGGAATATACATAATATTAAAATGAAAATAATAATCATATAAAATTAATTTTATAATTATAAATATATCATATTTTGATTTTTTTTTTACATTTACTCACAGTCACATTAATCAGTAGCATGTGAGCTACTAATGATGATATAAACTAATTAAATTATTAATATTTTAGTGATTCTGTTCATGAAACATGAAGAAAGAAAAAATAAAAATAAAAATCTGTGACAGTTGAAACCCCAATGAAAGCAGACAGATTTGTTAAACTGCATGTGCCATCTTCTCCCTTTGTATTTTTCTTACAAAGTCACTCACCTTCTCCTTTTTCTGTGATACTCCACTTCTTTTTTCAGACTAAAAAAGGTCAGGCACACATATACACCATTTTCATTTTTTTTCTTTTTCCTGAAGTTAGGCCGCAAAAGAGTTTGGTCCGAATTTCCTCAAAATTATGTCCGTTCAAAAGGCACCAAAACCCAAAAAATCACCATCAAATTATTTTCTTCTCACTCTAAGACTATTTTCCCACATGCGATGGCGGCTCATACGCTCTAAGGCCGCCGCTAAAAGGCAGCAAAAACCGGTGGCGCCGGAGGTGGAGACGGCTGATCAGGAAGAAAATAGCAATAAAATAGGGGAGAAGGGCATGGAAGTAATTTCGCAGGGGCACGGCAGTGATTGGGCTCCGGCGATGCGAAAGTCCGTGAAGATGATCCATTTCGGGAGCTGGGAGGAAAAGGAGGCGGCGGCGGCGGAGATTGCGAGGCTGGCGGCGGAGCAGGGGTTGGGGCGGCGGCGAGCCATGGCGGAGCTCGGAGTGATTCCGCCGCTGGTGGCCATGGCCGGATCTGAGGCGGCGGCGCGTCAGGGGTTGGCCGTACGCGCGTTGATCGAACTCGCTAATGGGTCTTACACGTGAGTTCTTCCTCTGCTTTCATCTTGCTCTGATTTAGGATAATTTTCGAATCTTGATTTGGCCATAATCGATTATGGATAGTTTTTTTAAATTAATTGCTTTTGAAATTGTAGTGGAAATTTGATGTGTTCTATTGTTTTTGTCCCTTA